TAGCAGTGACAGGCTGTCAGGCAGAGGGCACCAACCTCCACAGGGCCTTGGCTGAGAGTCTGCCCATGTGGGGGAGGAGGGCAAAGGCCAGGGGTTACGATAGGAGACACAACGCAGGCATCCACATGTCCGCACACCTCAAGCACACTCGTACTGCTTGACACTTTTCCTGCGTTATTCAATCAACAACAAGGCAGAGCTAAAATCCAAGTCTGCACACATCAAAACATCAAACAAAAAGCTTAATTAAAAGTTATAATAAAGCCCTCATGTGAAGTTTAACTCTGTTTCATGTCAAGTCTACACGCTGCTCTCAGCAACTTTCAAATGCTTTCAAATGCTTAAACTGTTTACAACTCTCTTTACTTGCACATAAACATAATTGACTTGAATTTGACTGGACGTGTGTACCATTTGAAACAGGTTATTTGCCTGGCAGGAAGCAAAAGTGGTATGTAAAGCTCACCGGGGGCTTCACCCTGTACCTGGTCACCAGACGATTTTCCTAACCACTAGACCATATGAGCTCCTTACATGCTATGACGATCTAAAACTACAAGTGAGGACGACCAGAGGTCACTGAAAACCAGAAGCAGGGGGCACGATTTTAGAGCTTTGAAGAAGATTTGCTTCTCTCGTTGCACTTCTGGAGCCTACAAATGTTTACTTTGATGCAAAAGAATTTCAGGGGTACTTAGCCACTTTGCTCCAAACACAATAACACTGCAGATTCTGAATATATTCACTAAGTGAGCAATCAGTGGCAAAGTGGGCTGAAAATTACACTTATCCCCAACCCCATGATGATATGCATAGAGAAATAAATCAGAGAGCAAGAGAAGAAGCAGAGGGGCAAGGGGGAGAAGTGGCATCACCTGGTCGGTCTTATCTTAAAAAGTGGTGGGATGTGTCACCTCAACTCTTCAGAAAAAGAGATAGAACCCTCCTGGCACATCTTTATATGAAAGATTTCTGTGAAATGATTGCTAATCTATGCAAAAAAGCAATCAGTGACTCATTCATAATGCATGAGCAACGAGACACCAATTTTGCAACGCTTTCGGATTATTAGATGTTATCGTGAATGCAAGCAGATGAAATATGAACACTCCTACCTGTCCTATTGTAATTACATGACTGCAGTGGTCGAGATATACACTGGGAGCAGAAAATGTGCAGAAAGAAGCAAGCGGGGAGACAGACAGACAAGCAGAACATCCATTACTATCTGACTGCAGATCGCTGTAGATGGGAATATTTGTTTCTAAAAGCTTTATGTATCCATTTGTGCAGTCATTTATCAACCTAAAAGCTGTGGTTTTAAGTACATCTGGCTGACATTGTAATGGTCCATCAATCACTGGGTGTCATGCGATAACATTTTGAGATCATCCTCCTCCCCGAGAGAAATAAAATGAATCTAATATATTGGATGCAATCCCAGGGAAATGATGAGAACCTATTTCTAATTCAAAGCAAATTCAGAGTACGAATGTAAGATAAGCTGCTTCTCAAATTAATTCAAATCAAATTTCATTTAGGATGTTTTTGTTCTATATAGACCCTTAATGCACTGAATATATGTATGTGCCAGTTTCTAAACTGCAGTTAAAGCCTGGCAAAAACAATTACAATCCTGTTTGGATTACGGGCGTCAGATTAATAAATGCAATGTATTATCAAATGATAATGTATTTCCTTTAAAGGAGCCATACATTCATGCACATCAAAGAATTAAATGAATTAAATGGATTTAACATGTATCTATTAATTATAAAAATGCTGCTTTGCATCTGATTTATACTTAAATAAAAGAAGACGTAACTTTTTCTCAATATTTTAACAATTAAAACAGGCAGAGACAGACGTTTCCTTCCCATCCCATATGAGATAGAGACAGGCACAATGTAACACCATCTCTCTTTTTCCTTATCCTGTTCAAAAAGAAATGTAAAAGCACAGAACCCTGACTTTTTTTACTTCGGTGTTAACATATATAGATTGCACCTGGAAAGCTTGTAAAAAGCGCTGACAGGTTTCATACTTTTACATTCTGGGCAACTTCAGGATTTGCTCTTAAAAACGGAGCACAGCAAGGATGAAGGGAGGTATAAAAATCAATGAGGCTTTTCAAAGGCAACAAGAAAAAACAGCGCCTTAGCCTGCAATTAAACAAGAGCTCTCCTGGCACTGAGGGATGACAGAATATGTTGCAGGTGCCCTCGACTTCACAGAATCAATTTCAGGATCAATACAATGACATGATACAATTCCATAATGGAAAACTGGACGTGGGCTGGGAGTCATGTGTTTCAGATGTTTATAATAACACAGCTCAAGCAGCTCTAAACACTGTGGGCCCATTAAGTAAACATGAGTGAAGACAGCTCTAGACAAAACACTGACTCCAGGTGGAAACCTCACATATCTGGGGGTCAGGGCCCCACAAAGGGATGCAAAATAAAACTGAAAGGTCACAAGATGACTAAAAGAACAGGAAATAAAAACAAAAAGAATAATTCTGTCACATTAAATCCGGTTAATTGTTTCAAGACCTTCCTTTGGTGGATAACTGTACCATTCATGATCCTCAGAGGAGGGATCGGCATTACTTTGTTGTTAAAAGAAAAAGGAAGGATTCAATGTTCCTCCTTAAAAACTAAACCTTTGACAGCACAGTTGTACCCTGCTGTCTTAAAAGGACCCCTGCTACTAACACTGCCAGCCACCCTCCACTTACCTAAAGGGCAAACTCCCCCAGGAGGATCATACAGCCCATCATGACTGAGCTCATGGTGTTGATGCTGCCGATATGAATGCTCGGAGACGATGATCCCACAAATCTTCCCTGCTGAGGCCAATTCAACATCCCCTTTTGACACAAAATATCATGACATAAATTACAATATAGACACGAACAATTAATTTCCAACATAATAACCGGCAACACACTGTGATCCAGAGGCCTCTTTATGTTAATGTGAATCCTCACTATAGGAAGTCAAACACAGGGTCCCTTTTAGTCAAACCAGTGGCCGATAGCAACATGATATCTTGTCAGTCAGGTCTAATTCTGCGCTCAAACTTAATGGCTCCTGACAAGCATCTCACCAGTCCACTGAGAGACCAGAGGGAATATGCCACAGTGAGCATGACCAGTCAGCAAATTCACATTTAACATTTCATTCCTCCTGCTTGGACAAAATTAATTATACATCCTTGATTCTCCCACATTGATCCATCCAGACAAAACTCCCTAAACGTTAAATGTTAAATGATTTGTACGTCTACTTCCTCACTGCTGGGACGGCATCTCTATCATTCTGACATTCTCCCTCTATCCTTGACCCCCTTTCCTCAGTCCCTCTGTTATCTGAAATAATCTCAGGGCCTCTTTAGATTCTATTCATCAGAGCAGAAAGAAGCAGGCGCTGACATTGATAAAAAAAAATACCATCTGTGCCTCGCAGGGGTAAAAGGAGTGAGAGAGAATGAGACGGAAAAGAAAGGAGAGGGGCTTCAAATGAAACAGGCTCTGTTGTCTCCCTCTTGTCCCCCCTCGTCAATGCCATTTCAATTGAAAAGCGCAGTGGTAATTAAATTCCAGCAGGGGTTAGGGGCAACTGTGTGGCGCACTGACGGGGGGCTGCCCTGACATAAAGATGACACAATTCAAGAGGACAGAGGGGGCGCCAGGCGGAAAAGGAGGGAGGGTGACAAATGTTGTGTATTCACGTACACTGCCAGAATCGTACTACTCAATCTTCCTGACATTTAAAAAATAGAAAATGAAATGGATATTCAAACTCAACTGAATCCCTCCATGACCTTTCCTTCAATTCAGGGATATTCTGAACAGATCCTTCGTCTGTGTCTGCGGCATCTGCAGAATACTTCTTAATGCTTAGGAGGCAGAGCAATTAAGTGAGGGGGACATTTGGAGAAGCGTGTGTGTGTGTGTGTGTGTGTGTGTGTGTGTGTCTGTCAGCACTAATGTGTGACTCACAGAAGGACGCTGGTTGTTGTTGATTCACATTATAGTGGTGCTAATCCAGAGGCTCCAGAGAGGCCACACACTCCTGCTGTTCCCCTCTCCCCATCCTCTATTAGCAGAATGAAACAGCTAGCTGGTTTCTAACTGCAGACACAAACAGCATATGGCATGCCTTATTTTGAGATTGAAAAAAAAACACCAATCTCTAACAAATATTTCTCTTTCTTCAGATTTAATATGAATAAATCACAAAGACAAGTTAAGTGTAAATATTCAAATAATTTATGTTAAAAATAAAGCATGATAAAAAACTTGTTGATTTATAGCAGCATGCTTCTGTCTTATGATATAATAATATAATAATAATAATACAATAATAATGTCTTATAATAATGTATGACTGTGAAAGCTTTACATTATATTATGAGTACTCTTTAGAGCAGAGGTGTCAAACTCAATTTCATCACGGCCACATTCGCATTATGGCTGCACTCAAAGGGCCGGTTGTAACTTTAAGACTATATAAAAGTACATATATAAATATTTAATATATATAAAATAATGTATTATATTACATTATTGCCTCTGCATTGGATTATTATCGGATAGGGTAATAACTTCATAATTAACTCGGTCTGAAAGCAGAAGTCTAGGGCAAATAATTGCAAGTCTCTTCAGTGAGAATGTCACAAAATGATTTTAAAAGAAAAGCAAAATAAAAAAGGTGACATTTTGAAAAAAAGTCAGATGCATTGCGCTCCATGTATGGGCAACGTTCTTCTGTAAATCGCCATGTAACATATTATATTCTTTGCAAGCTCTTGTGGGGACACATAAAATGAAGTTGCGGGCCGGATTTGGCCCCCGGGCCTTGAGTTTGACACCCCTGCCTTAGAGTATAGTTAGGATATTAGTATTTCCTGGTCTCACCATCATTGTTTATAATCCAGAGAAATATCAAAGCCTGTTGAGAAACCTCTTAAAAACCTGAATAATAATCATTGAGTTTTGTTGAATAATCAAAAATCTATTTATCAAACTTCATCATAATTTCTGTAAAGTGACTACTTTCATTCTAGCTGTTATCCAACAACAGTGCAATGCAAACATCGAGCAATTAATGACAATCATCTTATCCATTAAGGTATGTTGGCTGTACTTTGTTGAACATTTTGATTAAAATATAAATGAATCCTGCCAGCGCTTCACTTAGACATGAATCAATGTATCAGATCCCCTTACCATAACTCCGGTTGCATAGAAAAAGCATCGGTGCAACTCCGATGCCATCTTGTGGACAAAGCGTACCATTGTACCATTTAGTCATGTTCACACAGTTTAAAATTAATATCAGTAATTCGTTAGAGACACAGTAGCTTTTGCTGTTAGTTTCAAAACAGTTAGTCTTCCAACAAGAAAATGTAGGACGCTCTTTCCGTCTCCTTCAGTGTGAAATGTTCCTTGGTCCATTGGGCTCAGTTCATGAGTTGAGCATACCTCAGTTCTTTAGGTAAACACCGTAAAAGACAAACTGTCCTCTTGTTAAGCCCCCGTCTCAGTAACGGTTTAAAATCTCCAGAACTTCCTCCTTAACAGAGAGCGGAGAGTGCTGCTGGACCCCCGGCCCGCCAATACTCGTCTCCCAGCAGTCAAAGCCGCAGTCTTTCAAGTCCTGCACTGTAGTCTGGACAACAGAGGAGTCCGTCTCTACAAAACAAACAAGTCATAATAAAGTCAGAAAAGTATGTCAGAGTGGGCTATGGTTAAAACATTAAAATAAAAAGTGTTTACAAGCTAGAGATAGATGTGTTGTTGTTTCAATGTACAGGAATAAAATGGATACAGTGGTGCTTTCAGGGATACACGTGCAAAGTCTTTGCCACTGAAAGCAAAAGTCAAGGATCTCAAAGATGAAGGATAATAAGCACTCTCCTGCTGAGTGTTGGATGGAAACGGTCCAAAGTGTACTTCATGCTAACCACGGGCTTAACTTAGAGCCTCAGATGCAGGAGCAGCTAAAACATGATGATAAAATTACTTGACTTAGTGCCCGTTTCCTGAAAGATTTAATATAAACACTCTCAGAGAACATTAGAGAAGACAGAAACCAGGCAATCTATTTGAAAATAGCTGCAATTCACACTGATTGCTAAGAAAACAAATAATGAGCATTTGGAAAACTATTTAGAGGAGTTGGAACATTTATTCTGCTACAGGCTGCAGGCACAAACAAAGACTGAACTCACAGGTTCTGTTTGTTTTGTCAAAGAGAGGATGATACAACGTGTCCTTATAGCTTATTCCACAGTAGGTCCCACAGAACAAAGAAGCCTCAAATGAAGCCTTCTCATTTCCTTCCGCCCAGTTTGTTGTTTCAGAGAGGAGGAATGAGGCAGCGTTCAAGGAATATTTGTCGTCATCAGCAGTCTGACTTGTCAAACTACCTTTATTAGATTCATTTAATGAAAGGACAAATTAAATCAAGGATGTAGAAAATAGGTGACTTAAACTGAGTAAGTTAAGTCAGTCAGTGTAAGAGTAACAGACGTTTCTCCACTTCTTTTGAAAAATGTATAACATCTTTTAAATTACCTTTTTCTGCTTTAGAAGACCCAAACATCTGTCTGTTTATATAACCTCTTCAAGGTTCTTTATTTGTCATACGAACATAGCTACAGAGTAGTTATGTCGATGAAAATCTTAGGTCACAGGCTTCTCCAACAGTGCAACACAATAATGATTCAGTGATTGGACTGCATTTGTATCCTGTTTTTCTAATCTTTGCGACCTCTTAAAGTGCACACAGTTGTGACATACACAGTGAAGCGGTATGTGTACAGTACCTGGTCTCAGAAGGGTGATGCCGCAGCCCCCTCCCCCCGCGCCGGTGAGCTTGCTGTGGAGCCCTTTGGTCAATGTGACCTGGCACAGTGTGTCCAGGGAGGGGTGTCCCACGCCCATCACATTCAGATGGTGCTGGTTAATGTCAATGAGCTCCTATAGATGATAGGACACAGCTGTTGTTAAAACCTGTTTCTGTCAACAGAGGATTAGTCATGTGGGTGTGGATATAGGCTCTCGGGATTAAAAACAGAACATGATATTCTATTTGATTCATTTTGAAATCCTATGTTAGGTCTGAATGACTTGTTTATGATGCAAGATGCTTTCCACAATGTATTCATATTTTGTACCTCTAGAATATTATAGTGCTCTCCAGTGATGGGCTCGCAGGTCATCTCTGAGAGGATTTTCTCACAAGTGCAGGAAATGGCATCAACTGAGTCAAGCACCGGGGTCATGATGGAGGGGAACTAGGAGGAGGAAAACAGAAATACAGCAGATCAACATCACAAGTGTCTTTGTTCACATGATTCTAATTTTCAACAGAAAGTGAAATAGCAGTGTTGATTTTGCTCCGGCATGATCACAACACCAACCAGGCCGATCTATGTCGGAGGCAGATATCGGCACACCTGCTGCTGTCACCAAGGCAACAGCACACAGGGGTGCTGGCTAAGAGTTTAATTTCAATATTTTATGAAGGCACTCAACGCCAGGCTCCGGAGTATCTGCTATGCAAAAGCACCGCCTATTATATTAATTACAGTGTCGGCAAGTAACACGCGGGGGAGGAAGAAACCATTTAGTACCTTGTTAATCTTGTCCTTCACCCCGGCAACAAGTACCTTGGTGCTACGTGGTACTTTGGTGTTAGTGAGCAGGATTCTTAACAACGGCACCCTGGAAGTAAAGCAGACAGATCAGAAAGGTCAAACACACGTATTATTCTGGTGAACTAATTCTACCCGGACAATATTTGTGTTTTCACACTATGCTTGTTATTAACTCACTGTGTACTCTCTTTTTTAAATGAAATCAAATTAAAAAGTGTTAATCAGTGTCATTACCTGCTCAGTGGTATTATCTTCCCGGCCAAGAATCTCAGCATGCCACCTACATTCAGGGAAATCAAATTCATTAAAAAGATAATCATCAAATGATAATAACCAGTGGTGGTTCCATTAAAGACAAAGGGAGGTATAGCACCATATGTACTATGCCAGATAATTGAATGCCTCACCCCAGGTTCCTACAGCGTTGTCTACTCCTGAAGGATTACCATGGATGATCATTTCCCCCTGGAAAGCCCAGCTGTTGATCTGCTCCAGGTCCTCCTGACACCACCTGTAATTAGTTGTAAATTAAAAGAAAAAGCTTTGCATACTAACAGACCCTCAAAGACCAAATCTTTAACTACCTCCTTATCTCAGAGCCATACACGGGTAAACACTCTAGGTATAGATGTGTAATGGATGAGTTAAACAGATGCTGTTTGTGATGAATCCATTTAAAATGTTATATTTTTAGTCGGTACTAAATGGTATTAACACCTTACAACATAATACAATACAAAAACAATGGAGACAATCTCTCGTTTGTTTTAACAGTTCATACAGATCTTAGTTAAAAGGGCTTTCATGCGGGCAGCTCTGAGAAAAACAAAGCAGGTCCTAAAAACTTAATTCAAGTTACTAATGGTGACTCTGTTTGGGATTGCAATACACTAAACAGGCATTCATGCTGTTGTGTTTACTCCAAAACCATGAAGTAGTTTTGCTTTTAAAGAAATATAACGTTGTCATTCAAGGTCTTTCATTCTCTGTAAGCTTCAAACCACATTACTTAGGTTTTTAGATCCTATTCATCAAAAATGTTGCCTACAAAAACTGCATACACAGCTTATCATAGAGACATTCCTTTAACATAGCGTTGTTACCTTGCACTTTGATCCGACTCTTTGAGGGGAGCAGGGATGGCTCCACTTGCACAGAGCAGAGCTGAAGCCAAACACACCGAGTAGGCAGCACTGGACCCCAGGCCCGCTCCGGTGGGCAGCTCCGACCACACGGACACCGTCAGGCTGGGCAGCTCACTGAGGAAATAACATGAATAATGAGCCTCCGTTTGTAAGATGGTGACGGCTATACTGCCTAACTCAAAGCTTCAGAAACCTGGTATACAAACAAATGGGTCATTTCACAGTGACTTTATCTGCTTTTTATATCCAGTGTTTCCCATACATTGATTTATTTGTGGCGGGCAGCCACAATTAAATATGGTCCGCCACAAATGGAACTCATAAAAAAAAAAATTATTATTCTTCTTTTTTTTTTTTTAGTCTAATAATGGATAGTGAGGTGGGCTGATGATTGGAAGGTTGCGAGTTCAAATCCTGCCTGGAACACCACTTGCCCTTGAGTAAGGCACTTGGCCCTCGGTTACTCCAGGGAGAATGTCCCTGTAATTGGTCATTGTAAGTCCCTTTGGAATAAGGCGTCTGCTAAATGCCTAAATTGTAAATTATATTTTTGGGAGAACAAACCCCACAGATCCTCAACTCCGGTGTGTCTCACTCATTAACAACGCAACACAGAGCAACAACAACGTTGTCTACAGTAGCCATGAACTCGCACGTATTATCTTATTTGAGGGGGGGTGGATGCGTGGGCCACCCGAATAGGTTAAGGGGCCTTTGGCTTTTCTTTTTTTGTGCGGTCCACAAATAGAATCAAATTCTGTGGGAAACACTGAAGTCTATTGGTTTTCATTCCAGAGTGACTACATCTATTTTTTATATAAAGCCTATTGGTTTTCTATAATGTGTAGAATATGTGAAATGGGTAATTGGATCTTTGTGGCCATCTTAGCCAACCAGATGCAATAACAAAAGGAACAAATGCTGAGAAGAACTATCTCACCTTGATCCGAACAGTGAGATGTAGATGTAGAGGAAGGATAGGGTGGCCATGTTGCAATTGTCCAAGTTTCCATTGGTGACACCGATAAATTCACGCAGTTTCCTCACAAGTTCAGCATCTAGAGGTTTTCCCTCCTCACGCTTACCTGTTAACATGAGGTATAAAACAGAGCAATCATCAAAATCACTAGAATGTAATGTGAAAGGATTATACACATCTGGTCAATAGTAAGTTGATATTGATTTTAAGTTGTGGCATCTACTCTTATAATATGTGTTGGAGTTCATTGTATATTAGTAAAAACTTGACTAGTTTTAGACATTGTGAAAAGTCTGAAATCACACCAAACTGTGCCTGCACAACAATGTTTGTAGGTGTTAATGGTCCCCAGTGCTGCACCGTCCCTTACCGCAGGAAACAGGAATAAGCTGCTTCAGCTCAGAAAGGTCATAGCAGAGGAAAGTGTCGATATTTGGGAGGTTGATGCAAACGTTGCCAGTCGTGGTGCCTTTCAACCGTAAATATGTCCTCAGGTTCAAACTCACAGCAAGAGCCACCTATAATAGAGCAGAGATATACAGGGTTAATAAATGACATTTACACAATTACGTGCACATTATTTTAAGTAATGTTCCAGGAAATTGGTGCTAATTGGATGATTGTTGTTATTTTTCGTGCAAAGATGGGTTGATATTTGTTGTACAGTATAGTTTACAGATTGCAGAGATTTAGTTTAATAACATAAGATAAGAAAGATTGTTGGTCACAGCAACATGTTAAAACAAGGCATTGCACATCATTGGAAAAATAAAAAAATAGACATAAAATGAACAAACAAATAAAAGAAGTGAAAGCTTCTGGAAGATAGCAACATTGCATTTAAACTGAGATCCTTCAACTGTTATTGCATTAGACTGCACATATACAGAAGGTGTTGGTCCTGTGAAGGACATCATTGCTCTGACTAACCCAGATGTATCTCACACATTGTCGAATTTCATCTCTTTCAGCAGTACTTTACCTTTCCGTGCACCACCGCATGCTCTCCGTGGAGGATCGCCTTCCCTGGAGCAGACACGAATACGTCTTTGACTGTCATTTCTGTAAAAGCTTGCAGAGTGAAGAAATGCGTCCAGAACTGGGCAGCTTTAAGCCCAACTTGTCACTGACAGTGTTATTATTAGCTAGCTCAGTCACCTAGCTAATGTTAATCCTCTGAAGCAACAGCACGCAGACGACAACTCTACCCCTCATGAAGTCTCAACGAATACAGAGAGTTTAAGTGAGCTGTCTTTAGTCTAAATGCAGCAAAGTGCTTTGCTGTGCTTTGCTTCATAGCAGCGTTGATAAAACATGTTAAAAGCACAGCCGATTCAGAGAAGGAGAGAATAACATGGGTTCGGCTCCCAGTATCCAATCAGCGCCGCAGCTTGCCGCACATATATTATGTTGTCCAATCGGCGTTCAAACCACACGGTGAGTTGACCAATCATACGATGAAAACGAAACGCCCATAAACTACGGACACCACAGAGGGACAAAACGCGTTTCCCACTACCGTTCACCTTTAGCAGTTAGCTTCTTGCATTAACATGGCATCGTTTATCATAAAACCTGCTCACCTCCGTTGTGTTGTAAGGACATGTAGGTTCTTACGCGAGCCTCAGACAAGAAACACATTGTGTTCAAGCAGAAGGTAGTACATTCCTGTTCTTTGTCAAAGTAGTCGTGCAAAGTATTCATCTACTCATGTTGTAGTATGTAACATTGAGTCCTATTAGGCAGCTACTACACAGGGATACTTATCAAAGAAAGGCAATTTATCAAAGTGTATCTACATGGAGTCTTGTTTGAAACTGAGACTTGAAAAACCTGGGGACACAACAAAATACGTTGTTATGAAACAAAAGGGGTAGCCTACATGCATTTCGCCGTGTTACATGTTTCACTATAAAGTGTTTTTCAAATGTATTTTATATACATATTTTCTTTTCTCCCTACAGTTATGCCACTGAAGAAGACAACAGGGGACCCAAAATATACACCAAAACTGGAGACAAAGGTTATTTTTTAACTAGGAATCAAAACATGATGTTACACCACTTTGATAATACGTTTTTTATTTTTTTTAACGAATCCATTCCTTCTTTTACTCTTTCTTTGCCCCCTAAAAGGTTTCTCCAGCACATTTACAGGAGAAAGGAGGCCAAAGGAAGATCATATTTTTGAAGCCTTGGGAAATACAGATGAGCTGTCATCAGCTATAGGGTAAAGTTTCTACTATCCACCAGTCACTTTTTCTATAATCTGCCTCACTGAGTTAACATGTTATGTTAATTTTACATTACAGCTTGGCTAGAGAATTTTGCCTTGACAAAGGTCACACCTTCACATATCAGCTGGACAAGGTTTGATTAGCATATTGCATTCAATAACCTTTTTTTCATTGCAGACATGCAACTGTGTATAAGAGTATTATTCCATTAATTGCAGATACAGTGCATTTTACAAGACGTGGGCTCCAATATCGCCACTCCTCAATCATCTGCAAGAGAAAGCCACATAAGTATGTATTTACAACTGTTACATATGCACTCGCTTTTCTAATACTTTAAAATGTGTCTAATGTGATTGAAGATTTAATTGATTTATGTCTGTTCTGTTTTTGTAAGGTAGAACAAAATTTGCAGCTCAGCCAATTTCAGACCTGGAGACCTGGATTGATACGTTTACTGAAGAACTGCCACCACTGACCAACTTCATTTTACCTGTAAGCCCATCTGAGCCTCTGTAAGACACTGAGTTCTCATGAGAGTAAATGTTTTCCTGTTGCACTGATACCTGAGCTTTTTGTGTCACAGTCCGGAGGGAAGGGCAGCGCAGCATTGCACTTGGCTCGGACAGTGTGTCGGAGAGCCGAACGCAGGTTGGTTTCAGCATATTCCTTGCCCTGTTTGTCGCAAAATGTCCCCCTATATCTTGCTTTTCTGGCACAGAAGGTTCTCACAGATCTTTGTTTCTTGTTATAGTGTTGCTCCAATTGTGCGATCAGGCGAGGCAGATGCAGATGTGGCCAAGTTTTTGAACAGGTCAGTCCAGTGCTTTAAAATGAATATGAGAAAATGATGTCTGTATTTCACATCCAATAGAAATCGCATATTTTTCCCTCAGATTGAGCGACTACCTGTTCACAGCGGCCAGATATGCAGCCATGAAAGAAGGCAGTGTGGAGACTATCTACACAAGACCTGAATGACCAGGTTCTCACATGAGGAATAGACGCAGATCTATTTTGTTATTGTGGATGGTTGGTGTTGCAGAGATTTCACAGTTTATTGATTAATTGTTTGTTATCCTGATGCAACTTTCTTCTTATTATAATGTGGGAACATAAGCAGTAATAAACTTCACAGTGGCTTCAACTTTCAGAACATTTTTTTTATTTTCCAAACATTTTGTTGGTGTACTCAAGCAGACCACCTTTAAATACTGGCCAGTATCTTGTGTTGGTTTTAAAACTATGTTTAGCCAGATATTGAACAACTACTATGTAGATTGCTCTTTTCTCTATAAGATATAGCTTTACCCCAGCACATTCTCAGCCATTTGTAATACTTTAACAATACATTTGCATGTCAGAACAGTTCAGCACTTGGGGAGTGAGTGGCCTTCTTCCAACATGGCTCTGTTATTATCCCCCTCCCACACAGTCACAGGATGTGGCACCATCCCTGGCTCTTCTGGGACAGGGTGCTGGCCCATGTCATGAGAGACAGATTGCGATCCTCATAGGGTGGATAACGCAGATAGGTTACACACTCAAACCGTGTGCTTCTTAGCAGGCATGATTTCCTGTGAGAGAAGGTATCAAAGCTGTAGCGGCCATGGTAGGAACCCATTCCACTGGCACCTGTCAAAAAAAAGATTGAGAGTTGATTTAACAGGAAATATTATTCCATGTTTTCCATTATTTATACTATGCTGTCATTGACTTACCAACTCCACCGAAAGGCAGAGCCACCATCAGACTCTGAAGGATGCTGTCGTTTGAGCAAAAGCTACCACTAGAAGTCTCACTCATTAGTCTTGTGATGACCTGCATTATCAGAAAGTCCAACACATGATCAGAATACTCACACCACAATGTTACAGTCAATAGAGTGTCTTAACTTGAATCATACCTTGCTGTTGCTCGAATATGCATACACGCAGAGGGGTTTCTCTTGCTTATTTATGAAGGCAATTGCTTCATCTACATTGTTCACAGTCAGAACAGGAAGAACTGGGCCAAAAATGTCCTGTTGCATGATGGGATCTGATTCCGTTACTTCTGTCAAAATTGTTGGGGCTTCAGAAAGAATTAAGAGAAGTTAAGATCATTAAAGAAATGCTTTGTTTCGAAGAATTCCACACAGATAATTCTTACCAATATATTTTTCTGCTTCTATCACTTGCCCACCGACCGCCACCTTGCCAGATCTCCACAGGATGTTCTTCGTACGGTTGAATATATCTAGATTGACCATGCGGCCGTAACTGCTTGACTCTCTGGGATCAGACCCGTAGAACTGCGTGAGGCAACACTTCAGAGCCTGCACCAGTCGTGCTGTGACTGTCGTGTGGCACAGGATGTAGAAAGGAGCCACCAAGCTCTGCCCTGCATTGTGAAAACGTGCCCAGGCGATGCGCTGTGCCGTGGTGTCAATGTCACAGTCTTGGTCTACATAACACGGGTTCTTTCCACCCAAAATAAGGGTGACAGGCGTGAGTGTGCGAGCTGCAGCCTGAGCAATTCTGGTTCCTTCCGACCTGTTTCCTAGGGATTGACCAGCATACACATTTAATGTAAAAAATCATCAAATAAATACTCTCAAAAGCGTTTTATATTGAAGTTTCACCTGTAAAGAAGACATGGTCAAATTTCAGTTCCACAACTTCAGGAAAGTCACGTGTGCCTGCAAGAATCACATGGAAGCATTCCTTGAGAAAAAAAGATTTTTAAATCAGATTAAATGTTATATTGTAGGTCCTTAATTTGAATCAATAAATGGTAAAACTGCAGATTCAGTGGTAATGAATGAGTGAGTTATTTAATTCTCTTTGGAATCAGACCAAAAACGGTCCTACTTGGTGCAATCATACAAATAAGTCAATATGCACAAACAAATTAAAGAAAATACACAACCTATTTTATCAAAGTACCTATAAACATTTACTAGAATATTTGAGAAACAAAAGAAAAAAGGTCTGCTGTCCTTCTAGGCCATTACTCACATTGTCCAAGTAGAAGGGGATAAGGCGATGCAGGAGCTGTGTAGTGTGAGCGGTGCACTCAGAGGGGCTGATGATTGTACAGTTTCCTACACAAATTTGAATTATGAAATCATAAGGTCTGTGTGTAAGACTGAAAACTCATCTCTTTCGACTCCACTTCGAGCAATACAATTACTAACAAAGCACTTGTATACTAATAAAGGACTGGCTTATCTAAAGCCAGTTGAGTAGCACTTGAAATGTTTTGGCTCTATGAAACCTGATGTACTTATATGGTTCTGTTTTCTTCAAGTTTGTATCTTCTTGGTCGAAGTCGCTTTGGATAAAAGTGTCAGCTAAATGCAATGTGTAACATGATACGCCATTTAAACTGATTAACTGAGTGTCTTGAGTCTCTGTACCTGCTGCGATGGCCCCTACCAGAGGCACCAGACACGTTTCCACAGGGCTGCACCAGGTCCCCACGATAAACACAACCCCCAGCGGCTCACTGACCATCAGACACTCGTCTAACGTCGTGGACTACACCAATCAGAGGAGCTCAAAATTAGGTTACAGGTGAAACCGAACTCTTGTGAAAAAGACATTAGCCCACTTAACTCTTGTGAAAATGTCAAGGCAGCTTAAGTTTTAATCTGCTTTGGCGGCCACAGAAGAACAGAACAATCATTTCTTTGTAGAAGTGAGACAAAATGTTCTCTCCAAAAAGGTTGTGTAAATCCTTCATAATCCCAATATTTGGAAGACATATTGGGAAAAAAGAGGGCAATAGTCTCACCAGGTTTCTTTCCACATGCTGCGGCTGCATCCACTTCTTAAGGTTGTTGATGGCATACAGGGCCTCATTCTTGACGAGAATAAGTTCTGACACAACTGCCTCAAACCTTGGCTGGTTGAAAAATAAAGTAATTACTAATTGGACCGTTATGTCAATTTGCATCGTCATAGTCTGATGTTTTAAGAAAGCATATTCACTTTAGTTGACTTATTCACCCCTCACCTTATGAAGGTCTTTTCCAAGAGCATCCACAAAGTCACTCTCGTGTTCCTCCAGCATCCGCACCACGGCCCCCAGCTGTGCCACTCTGAAACTCTCTTTGAGGGTGTGTCCAGCTTGAAAGGTGACTCTCGCCCTTCTCAGGAGACCCTCACACTCCAGAGGGTATGTCTTCAAACAGGGCTCCCCCAGCCTGGTCCTGAAACAGCAGCCAATCAACTCATTTTTATCACCACAGGGCAATAAAATATATCTTCAATCCATTATTACCCTACCTTCTGCATGTTAACCGGCCATTCCTTTGACACGAATAGCACACCCTTGTTTTTCCACTCATGTTTATTCCAATCAAGAGTTCTCCACTGCTGGACCTTTGTTCTGAATAGAGTTAGTGTGCAGTTAAGCCAATGCACATGTTATGTAAACGCTCCAGTGGTAGGGAGAAATAGTGGAAATCCTAACAAGTTCAATCTGGTACCACAGTATATAACACCCCAGCCCTCTCTCTTAACTACAGGGATTTACTTGGGGACCATGAACAATTAAAATTGTAATGCCACAAAACCAATGTGTTTGCCAACTTGAAAATACTGGTGAAAATGCTGCTTAAAACATTTGAATGAATCTCTCTTATGAGGCACAACTTATTTTTATTGCTGTAGTGTTTTTGTGTGTGTATTGATCTGACATATATATTTTATCATTTCAGTTTTAGTAATTGTATTTTGTATCTTCTATTTTATTTATATTTGTTGCTGTTTTTTATTGAAAGGTCTAGCTTTTTTGTGGTAGTTTCCATGTCATCTTACAGTGACTAAGCGTATATGACACATCTGTTTGATTTGTCACGAAGAATAATTCAATATAATAATTGAATATATATATTTTTTTATTAATATTATAATTTAATAATAATTTGTTTTAGCATTATATGGGGAATTTAGTCATTCAAATAGTATTTATTGATGGTCCCTTAGTAAAGTCCTGTGGTTAAGAGAGATGATAGAAAGTAAGTTAAGCATCCGAGTGAGTGTTTGCTAATTTCCAACCTGAAACTAACTTCACCCTCAAACAGGTGATGCACAAAGCCCATCCACTGGCTACGTTACCTTCGCAGCGCTCTGAACCACCGGAGGGGAGAGGGACTCTGCGGACTGCTCATGACTTCCCTGCAGGTTCAGGTGGAGCTTAGAGGAAATACTTCTAACAGCAGCAGTATGAGTCAGACATGCGCATAACTCGCCATGTATCCTATTATAGAAAACAAGAACATTTTGTCTTTGGGAAACGCTCAACCCTACAGCCTCCTGTCAATCACCAGCATGTCAACAACGGCTACTGTCCCGTGCGCAGATTGTCCCGCCCTCAGCAGGTGTTTCCAATTAACTAATTAATGACATGTAAACTTTGTCAGCCAATGCTTCGATGGGGAAAAGACACTCATTGTATTGTAAGGATTTTAAAGAGAATGATTTATATAATAGCAGTGTACAATATGTAACATTACAGGGAAATAATGTATATAACAAATGGACATTTTACATGGGAATCTCCGTTTTTAAACACACTCAATACTGTACTGGAGCCAGTCTTAAAAACACTTTAAGAAGAGATGAACACTTTCACAGGGAGGACGGGGACTTTTCAAGGATCATTTTATTATTTTAGTAAAAGAGCAGATAGTCAAAGGTCAGCATCAGCAGTCCACTGGTACATTTAAAGTATAACCTACTCTTGACATCATTTTAAAACAGATGAGCGACCTCATCACGAGACAGACAAGCTTTTGAGGTATCTTTCATCTCTCCTGCACACGCTCAAGTTTAGCATGTTGTGTGAATCCATTTGCAGTGTTTCCACTTATCGCCAGAAGAGATTAAAAGGAGAAAAGCTGGAGCAAGAACCTCCTGACTGATTTGCCAGATCTACAATAGTAAATCTCATTAGACTGCAGGTAAGTTCAGTACAACCAGTGTTATATATAATTATTTGTATCGCTTCTTTTTTAATTTTCACACAAGGTTGGCCATGATAGTTAGAAACATGACCTTTATATTCTAAAGCTTGTGTTACTTATTAACAAGTATCAATACTCCTTCAGGACACATAACACATTTTGCATAATAAAGAACTTGGTTAAGATTAGAATTATTTTCTTCTTTTTTTCACACTTTCTTTGAATTTTCTGGTAAATTACTAATGATCTATTTGAACCCTGTGTTAAGTCATATTTAGGCTGATAAGGTCCCAGGTGTACAACAATCCGAGGGAACATCAAATCGAGCAGTCCCATTTTGGTTATCAAACCGGTCCATGACATCATGTTGAGAGGTTTTTACACCCCCGACTCTTTTTCCACATGGTTCAAGAAGAGCAGAGGACATCGCAGTGAAACCCTCCTTGGTTGTTGTTGTTGTTGTTGTTGTTGTTGTTGTTGTTGCAGTAGTTGTAGAGTAGTTTTTTTCCCCCGCTTTTTTGTTAGTAGTAGCAGAGAATAAGTCCAGGTATATAGCCCCCATTTTTGTATGGCTTGTTTCCGATATATGTGGTAATTGGTTAAAATAAGAGAGCAATGGGGATGACATTATATGAGGCACTCAGCGTTCCTAAAAGGTGTAGTGAGATTTCACTACATTTTACTATTATTAAGTATGAAGACTTACATGACTAACTTTACTCCTCCTTTCTTCAGGAGTAGAGGTCATACAGATGTGTGACAATGAACAGCGGTGTCTGCTTTACCAGGCAGATATAAATAGTGCCCAAACATTTCCAGTTTCTTTTTTTACTCAAAAGTAGAAAGCTACAGCAAGGACATCTTTTCTAAATCAGACAACAGGAATCCGATTTTTTTTTGTTGCGTAAATTCTGCTGCTTCACCAGAACCGAGACTGATGTTAGATAACCAGATGAGATCATAAAAACCAGAGGGCCAATGTCTATCTCAGATGGCTGTGGCGTCTTTAAGTGGGGAGAAATGGAGTGAGGTCAAAATGATTTTCCTCGTAAATGGGACATAATGTAATCAACACAGGATTACATCTGTGAGCCACTCCTCCTTTGTTGAGGTCGAACACAAGACACTGATTCGTCTTCCATTTATAAAAGATGCATTATGTTCAGCATGTTTAAGACTCATCCAATATCAGCTAAAAGTTGCTTTGATAATGGAGTCCAAGCTTGTAAGTATATTAACAATGCATTGCTTGGTTTCACTCGAGTGAGTCCACCACGTGTATAATGGCTTGCATTGAGTCTGTATTGCTTTCCAGTTCGCCTAAAAGGGAGTGTTAGATCCAAATATGATTCTGTTAAGCCTGAGAAACAGAGATCCAGCCACTGTATGTCTGTATTTCATCAAGTTAAATACACAAGATATTGATTTTTTGGAGTAGAAAAGAGGGATGCTAACAATTAGATTGTGTTGCAGAAACAGCATCCCCTTCGATGTGAGGGAGTGGGCTGAAGTAGAGCAGAGCTTCTCCAGTTATCAATAGAGAACAAAGGAGAGGTCTAGATTCTCCATGATTCCCCTTTTGTGTAGTTGATCCCCTCTGACTGGTCAGAATCCAGTCCAGGTTTGCTGAGCCTCGTACTCGGCCCAGGCTGCTGAACACAGCTCTCCTGTGAAGATTGTCTTGATGCAAATGAGTTAGGAGAGCTCAAAGCCGGTGTTCATACTGATAGCGTAGCGCAGTTTGTCGCGCAAGATGCTCTTCTTGCTGTAGTTGGGCAACTTGAGCAGGTTGAAGCATGTTGATGAAGTGGGAAGTCGACCACCAGGCTCCTTCTTGCGGATTGTAAAAAAGCCCCTAAGAACACTTCCAAGTGTGTCTCCGGTGTCCTAGACACATGAAATGCTCTGTTAGTACAAATGTCCCACACGAATATGTAACACATTTCAAGCTCCATCTATTTTCACGCCTACCTGATCGTCTGAAACTTCCACACAGCGGATGGAGAAAGGTGGTTTGAGGTAGGCAAAACCTAGAAGTGGTGGCCTAGAGCAGCTGGTAACAAACTGTAAAAACATACACCAAAATGAATGATACAATCTTAAACCACTGGTCAAAATAAAACAGCTTTTGATTGTGACAGTTACAAATAATTTACTTTAAGGAACATAGCCCTCTCTTCAGAGGTGAAGTCACTGGACAGGATGTCCCACAGCCAGATGATGACCCGGTGGCTGCTGTGAAAACCTCCATAGTAGACGGTGTGTTTCCTGAGAAAGAGAGGTGAAGACAACAAGGATTACCATCTATGTCTACAGAAGCATAGATGAAGGCAAAACTTTACTGTACAGCTAACAAAGTGATTTAGGAGACTTCTGAATTAAGGGGAAATTCCTTCTAGATTTGCGACACATTTACTGAGAAAATATAAATAAAATGTCAATTATATTGAGTATACGGTTGAAGAAGTAATGAACGAAGAATCATTTAAAAGTCTGAAATGTCCCTTACTTGAGGTCATCAAGATCAATCTCAGCATTGTCTCCAGCGACAAGACGCTGAACCTCAGGCGTGGAAAACATGTGCAGCCACTCTGGGTTAATGATGCTGCGGAAACCCCGAATGAAAGCTGCCGTTTGCTCCTTAATCTGCGTGTGCATCCTGAAGTGAGCCATGAGGTGAATGTAGCTGATCCTGCAGGAAGTGGTAGAGCTTAGATCAGAGGTAGTAGACACTGATTTGTAATGACTTCTCAACAATCAGAAAGATTCAAAACCGGTTGGTACCCCACTCATTTTTTCAATTGTGTTTTTGGATTATGTATTGACATACTTGTTTTCGTTGGACACTGTCATGGTTTTCCCCCCGGGTATCAATTCATGACAGACAAGCTGTAAGGGAATATAAAAGGAGCTTTTAACTGATTAATTTCTATATTAAAATCCACATAAATCCACATATTATGTTCTTACCTGGCCCATTACATCCTCATCATAAGATAACGTCAGTCCAAGATCGCCTATATCTCCATCGTAGCGCTGAAAAACAAATAAAGTAAAAGTTATGAGATGAAAAGGGGATTAGTAAAAAACGAAATGTCCAAGTGTAATTCTAGCTGACCTTGATGGAAGTGAGGTTTTTGTAAAACTCAGAGTCCAGGGAGGGCAGCTCGTCGATGGAGCTGTAGAAAGTGGTGTGGTGGTGACCCATGACCTGACTGAGGAAGAAAGAGGCAAAGGGTACGTCCACAACGAGACCCTGAGGATACAGAAGTCACAGTTACACATTCACCCAAGATGTTCATGGAGAGATGACCAAATGAGGATGTTTTTCAGAACGCACAAATATACCTCATATACGGCTTTCCCGAGCATCTTCCCCACAAACTCAAACAGCTGCAAATGGTTCTCATGGATGTAGGATGTGGGTGAAGGATACAGCCTTTCGTTTCCACTCGTAGTCTATGGAAAAAAATATTGATGTCATACAAAACAGTGAAAATCAATGTCAGCAGCAGGAGAGTGATGATAAAAAGGGCTTTCTATTTGCCTGACTTACTTTAAACAGGTTGAGGGCAGGATTGAACACTTTTTTAATGATCTCCTCGAGAAACTCTTTGAACACACCATCCTGATCGATACCAGCCTCGTCTACTCCCAGATCGTTGACAAACTTCACACGAATGACGCCTTTTATGGAATTTGGTGGCAATCTGCGGAGCTGGTCATATCCATCCTTAGGACAGGGAAACACTGAGTGTTATTCTGGAGCCCACTTTCTTGCTCTCTTTCAAAAAATAAATCTGTTGACTGTGTTGTTGACCATACCTCTAACATCCGTGAGCGACGAATGGTAATATGCGTGACATGTGGTGAAGCAGAGTTTGTTTCTACCAATCCTAAACTTTCCTTTTCCTTGGTGACGATGTTCCTGAACAGCAGCACTCTCTAAAATCAAGAGGGAAAGTTATTAAACAACTGAACATGATAATGACACTCTTCAAAGAAAGGATCCCTCTTTTACTCACGTTTTTATGTGGAATGACATGTGGGATGTACTGCAGTAAAAGCTGGGCTCTTCTCTTGCCTTTCTCGAGCTCTTGAAACAAGAGGCTAGGCTTCAGGTCCCTGAATGCAACACAGGAGAAAGATTTAAAGGTGAGTTTCTAGATTTAATCACAAGGCTCAAGGTTCTTTATTGTCAAACT